TTGTTAACCATAAAGACACCAACAATATTGTAACACGTATGGGCGTGACAAGCTCCTGATATCGTAGATGGAGCGAAACAGCGAGAAGTCTTTCAAATGCAATGACAATAACATTCAGGAAAGACGCAAAGGCGAGAAGATTCTGAAAATATAAATGGACAATCAAAACTGTTGGACAAAAGAAGGCTAAGTCGTCTCTACTTGATGCCATCTTCAACATTACGGCACTGATAACGGCGAACATTAGCTGCGGTAACAATCCAACTGCAAGATCTGAGAAAGCCAGACTTAGGAACAGCTTCTTGACGGTGGCTGGTATCGTTGAGTTCTTCATTAAGGCCCGGATGACTAAGAGATTTCCTAGAGTCGCCACGAGGGAAAATACATAGTTTAAAACACAGAAACCAAGGAAGAAACTTCTCCTGTAGGAAACCAGTTTAACGGAAAAATCCAGAAAGTGAGTGCAGGTCTGTTCAGCCATAGGTTTACTTGTATATATACAATATGCATGTATTTTTCGTGGTTAAAACTGATATCTACATTGATTACCCATCCGTTTATTAGCTACTTTCCACATCGGCCACCTGCTGTAGCGCGTAATAAAGCCGGTTTATTAACTAAAGCCTTAGACTTAATAATATATGTAGAGTGCAAAAAGAAATTCAGTGTTATTGTTGGTATAGATTTTTAAGGGCTGAAACACCGAATCAAATTGTATAAAACAAGGCGAACCCAGAAAAAGATACAAGGGGAAGGTTTTGCAACACTAGTATTGAAATCAGGACACCCGATATATAGTTCTTTCCATAAAGTTCCAATTACCTCTCTGTCCATGATTGACATGTGTGCTATTGCCTGCTAAGAAGAACCAATTGTTTTTGAAATTGCAAATGCTCGTTATAGAAAAAAGAACTTTAATTTATTCTAAAACGTTAAAACGGCGAGCTTTTCCTCTAAATTTAACCGTTCAGCAAAATTTTTGAAACATGATAAAATACAGATGGATTTTGTTTAGTTCTATTTTTTTATTTAAAATTTTAAGCATTTTGACACAATGCTTCAGTTTTAAAACGTTTAGCACCTGTTTCAGTAGTAGTTAATGAGGTGACGTCCAGTCAGCGAGGCTTTTTAATCTTGCAAGTCGGTGAGGTTTTTATAAATGGACTGGAGCCTAACATTATGGACTGTTTTCGTCTTCCTTCGTCTTTCTTTGAGATTTGTGTCAAATGTAGACTTGCGACGGTTTTTCTGAATTGACTAGCGCACAGCGAATGACCTTGCTTATTTGTAAACTCTTTTCGAATGCCAACTAGTATATGTGTTCGTCTCTAAAGAGCCTCAAAATTGCAACTTCCGCTGTAGGCTTACGACAAGCCGTAGGGCGCGTCTTATCTTGTACCCAGATCTCTCACGGCCAAGCG